TGATGAAGAGAATGAAATGGATCGTGGACGTCAGCGCAAGGTCAAATCGGCGTCAGTCAAATCAAATAACGGTATACCCGGCTACAATCCATTCCAGGAGTTCGAGAGTCAGAAGCGCTGGAACGGCAACAAGTCTGGCTCTTTTCCCCGCTTCTATCAGAATTATCGACAGAATTTTCAGCAGCGCAACAAATTCAAATATAATCGATTTGGCGGCGGTGGCGCCAAATTTCAACAGCAGCGTGCCTTGCAGCGCCATCTGGCGTCTGGCGGCAGCTTCACGCGCCGTCAACATCAATCGACAGGCCATCAGCAACAGCAGCAGCAGCAACAATCGTAACTGGACGTTGATGAATGCTTCGCTGCATTAGTTGCGTTTTTTGCCGCTGTGGGGGACGCTTTTCAGCAGCTGGCAAACGTGTTCGCTTGGATTTTACACGAGTTTTGTAAACATTTTTTAACTGCTGATGCATACATTAGGACTAGGACATGTAAGCTATAAGCTAGAGCAACCTCTAACAGGTTTAATTTGTAAACGTGTTTGGCATTTTATTTATTATGTTTATTTTTAAATGAGAGTTTTGGAATACACATAATTTAAACGTAATGTCGCAGGGGCTGTAAACATTTTCAAAAAGTGTTGCAACCCCACAAAAAAATGATTATAACTATAAAACACAGAAATCATTAACGGATAGAGAGAGAGAAATAAAAACAAATACATTTATGCCTAAAACCAAAACAAAACTGTTTTAAGGAGAAAAGAAAATAAGATACACATTGATGCAAACCTTATAAGAAATACACAAAATAAAATAACAATATTTTTAAGTAACTAACAACAAACAAATTCTGTACATATTATATATTAAACAATGAGAGTAGATTAAACATCGGTCTAAGTTAGATGGCGTACTGAACGGATATTTCAATTGAACGCCACTTTTATTTATAGCATTAGCGGCAATAACCGATTGCTAGTGTTAAAATATAACCCAAATTATAAAAATAAAAACGTTGGATTTATATTATACAAACAAAGAGAAACACACATTTACGAATAAATAATAAGGCATTTGAACAAAGAAAACGGCCGGCGTCGGCGAATTAGCAAAATTATATTATACAGTTTATTTCGATCAAAATAGTGTAATAGTAAATAAACCGTAAAACAAAAAAGAAATAACTAAACATTATGTATTATCTACTATGTAAATTACATCGTTTAACCTTTTGGCTAACGCTAAATGGCTAATCGCCGCCGCCTCCGCTTCGTTTGCGTCGTAGTTCCTTCTTGTTCATTAGGCGACCTTTGCGGTAGCGCGTCTGTCCGCCGGCTGTCGCTTTACCATGCTTCAGTTTCTTTCTCAGGTGCTTGGGCACGCTTCGGATGGTGTTATTGCGGTCACGTTTCGTTTTCTGTAGATTGGTTTTCTTGTCCATGCGCTCTTTCTGCTTGAACAGTTTGCTCTTCTTAATTTTCTTCAGCGTTTTCGTTTTCATCAGTCTGTCTAGGTCCTTTTTGCTTTTTATATCTGCCTCCATAGCCTTGCTGTCTGCTTCTCCAGCTGTGGTTACCGATTTACGATTGCGTTTGGCATTCACATCGAAGTCCATGCCAGGTATGACATTGGTCTGCTGCTCGTCATCGTCTTCGCTGTTCTGCGGTGCTTCCTCTTCTTCGCTCTCCTCAGCTGTGTTGGCACCCAGCATGTTGCGTTGAGCAGCTAAATCATTCGTGGTAAGCTCCACGATTTTAACTTGCACTTCGTCATCTTCATACGCTTCAGTTTGCTCTGAGTCGTCAATCTTATCCTCCTCAGTAAGTTCCCGCAGCGGTTCAAACGATTTCTTGAGATGTTTAAAACTATCTTTCACCTCTTTTCGTATACGTTTGTGCTCCTCTTTAAGATTGCGATCCAACTCTGCCTTTGCCCGAGTGCGGCGTTCATTTTTGCGTTTTCGGAAGCCAGTCAAAAATTCTCTGTTTTGTGTGATCCAAGTTAATAACATAGTTTTGACTTGAATGCTACTGCTACTCACTTGCGTTTTTGTGGATCGAATACAATCTCAACTTTCTTCTTTTTACGAGCCGCCATCTCAATTTGATTTAGTTTTCCAAAAACCTCGTTGTTTACGTTTGGAGACAAACTAGCCACATGTGGTGTTCACAAACGCAATTTTAGACTCCTGTTAGCGTTGCATTTTGCGCCTGTAAACATAATGTTAACGCACATACGAGTTGATCATAAAATGCTGGCGGCTAAACATATATTTCTGTTAATTTGCTGTTATTATTTTTAAATGCCAAGTTTAAAACATATTTTAATATTTATTGTCTATATGTAATATACGAACATATTCGTTCGTTTCAGTGTAATATTTATTGCAATTAAATTGATAATTTTTATGATAAGTTTTCTTTATAATTTTGCGGCTTTTACAAATCGCACTTCGTATATATATCACATGCTTATATGTATTATCTTTTACAATTCGGATTACTTTATAAAAACAAAGTTTAGTTTTAACAAGTTCTTCTAAAGAAGCGTTAACATTATACAATCGTTGGGCCTAATAACTAGGGATATTTATGAGACTACGAACTAAACTCTAAATATATATAACGATATATTTTTGACATATGTATGGGTTGCATTTTTTGTAGCTGATATACTGTATATATATGCTTTGTAACCATAAATTCATTCCGTTGCAATCTTGAGGATCAATTACTCCTCATCAACATCTAATGTAAATAGTTTTTTGCCCCTAAACGAAGACGTTTCCAATACTTTTGATGGGGACGAGGCAAATGAGCAGTTTTCATCTACAGATAATAAGTTGCTCTTCTCTGGGCGAGTCTTTCGTGCGGAAGAGCTATATTATAAGAGTATATAAGTGAATATGAGAGTCGAACAGATTATGAGACAGCTACTTGCCTTCTTTGACGGTTGGCCGTTAAATGATTATGATTTATGGGCGTCGAATTCACCAGATTCTCTCGTTCACAGGCTGTCGGTGTGCCGTGCTGTGATAAATCCATATCCATGGCTAATAGAAAATCGGAGATATAACAATCACGATTACCAATGGGCGTTGATCCCACGAGCTGAAACTCTAGGCGCGGCACACCGGCCACTGATGTGGATGGTGATGAGGGCGCAGCGGTTGCTGTATTGCCATTATACATCGGAGTCTGTGAAGATGTAATGGGCTTGTACAGATGCAAGATTTCCAATAAGTAGAATAAACAACGATACGCCGCCGTCTTTAGATTGCACATTTTTAACCAAAATGCACGGCGCGAACGGCGAAAGCATTTCGACTGGAAAACATAATAGATAATAATTATATAAATGAATATTGTAAATTTGAATATACACTTACCAACAGCTTTAATGTGACCATGGACTTCTCCTGTTTTTGCATTCGCACAAGGCGAGGATGCGCCAATAGCTGTTCCGTCGTTGGTCGTTGTCGTGGATCTGGCGACATCATGCATTTAATAACCTGCTGCAGTTCCACTGAGATTTCTGCAAACGCAAAGGAATAGTTATTATTTATATTTCAATATCGTTTGAATTAAAGTACTCACTGCTGATGAACTCTTCAGGCAGCTTCCCCTGGCGCAGCTCATGCCACAACGGCCCATTGGATGGCAAGTCCATGTAGCATGACAGCTCCAGCATTGCAATGCCCAGACTAAAAATGTCTGCAGCCTTGGAGAAGTGACCCTGCAGTATTTCAGGTGCCATGTAACGTGAATCACCTTCTGTTGCCTGATGGTTGTTCGCTTTGTCCACATCGATGACCAACCCAAAGTCCGCCAACTTGCATGTGTCGTCATCATCGATCAGCACATTTTCCAGTTTAATGTCCAAGTGTATGAGATTACGATCATGTAGCGACTTCAAGCCACGTAGCAAGTCGAGTAATATATGCCAGATGCGATCCTCTGGAATATGTCGACAGCGATATAAATACTGTTCCAAGCTCTCGCGGCACAACTCCATTTGCATGAATAGCCGATCGTACTGCTCCCAGGCACGTATGAAACGAATGCAGTTTTCATGGCCAGAGAACTCCTCGTATCGCCGTACTTCCTCCAGTCGCTCAGCTCGATATTGTTCGCCACGGAACAATTGCTTGGAGATTTTGACCGCATACAGCCGGCTGTCAGAACGATCTCGCACCTGGAACACCTCACCAAAGGAGCCTTCGCCCAGCTTTGTCAGTCGTTCGAAACACTGCTCGAAGTGGCTCATATTGCAGGACGTCGTGGACATGGACGAGGCAGCTGCAGCAGCACTTGGCGACGTTGGTAATATACCGGCATCCGAGCACTCTGAGCCGCCACGAAAGGAAATCGCGTGCGCTATTTGTGAGTTGTTTGCACTGCAGGATCCGGACGACTGACTGCGATTCAAATTGTTATTCTCAACTGCAATATAGCGCGTTTTCACTTTGGGCGGTCGAAATCGGTTGCTGTCGAAATGCCCATTGAACTGCCACAAAGAAATTTTTAGTTGCAGATATTGCAGGGCGTGACAAAAACTGAATGCAACTTTGGTTGCATGTTGTAGCTGGAGTCCTTCTCACCTGTTTATGCCGGTGCTTATCATCATTTATTATCTCCGGCATCGGCAATCGTTGCTTGTCCATGTTGTTTCTCTGTTTTATTGAATTGTTTTTCTTATGTTGAAGTTGAGCAATCGGGAACTGAACTAATGAACTAGTTCGTTCGCACGAGGAGCTTCAACTTAGTTTATACGTGTCAAATTGTTTATTTCACAAAGAAGCGCAATGTAGATCATTATCATTTTGTGTTGGGGGCTGGAAATTAAAAGAAAGTAAGCATTTTATTGCCTTAATAATTGTATAAATAATTTACCAAGCAAACAATTATCAGGAAAATATATCCACTTCAGCGCTGCCACATAGTTTCATTTATTATGTCGATATTTAGCGGCGGAGCGTCGATATGTTATATGTGTGCCTCGATTTTGCCGATGGTATATATTATCGTATCGCTTAGTCCATAAAAACAACGCGCAGTTATAGTCTTCAAAACAAATGCAGCAAAATGCTTGGCAAGAGCATTGATAGGTAAATATGCGCGACATTTACAGAAACAGGTAAAAGCAGCAAGGAGCCATTTTCAAAATATGGTGCAATCTTCACTAAGTTATGCAATTTGCGATGCGGTTTCATATTGTGTATAAGTATGTAATTGTATTGCACACACATGTATGTACATTTGCATATAAGTGTGACCGCATTCACGCGCAAAATAAATACCAATTGAACACAATCGAATTCCGTTTAGATTTCAAAAATTTGAATTTAAATTCTTGTGCTGTTGAGTGTATAAAATGAAATATATTTTAAACATATCAACTTTTTATTACAGTACAGGCAAGCAGCCAACATTTCACGTAATTCGAGAAGTCTACGACAGTTCAAATGCACACGAACGCTTTGAAGCAGAGCTGGAAAAGGCGCTTGAGGCGAAAGTAGACTTTATAATCATCGAGCCGCCGCGATTAGGCGATGAGACAGGTAAATTAAAAATAGGTTTACCTAATACTTTGTCGATTTAATAACTATTTGGTACACTTAGGTCGCTGGATATGGGTAGGCAATTGCCTCCACAAGACTGCAGTGGCAACTGGCGTTGTTTCCTTAATATCTAGCTTGTTGTGGTACGACCGTCCAGTGATTGCGGCTCCCATTTGTGCAATGTCGCTCTTCTGTACCGGATTGTATACAGTTTCCTGGAACTATGATCCTTGCTGCCAATATCAGGTAATGTGAACTTGATTTTAGTTAATCAAATAAATATTAATATGTATTCTGTTAGGTGGAGGAGAATAACGAAGTTGCATTAAACAAGCTGCCGTTAACAGATGTATCCTCGCCTGTGATCCTGGGCTATGCGCCTAATACTCAATCCAAATACTTGCATCGTGGCATTACCTTCTTATCGGCGGCTTTGTGTGCTTGGCAGATATGGCGGTCATATAAGTAAACGATAAGCACTCTGAATGGGATAAGTCAGCCACTGCCAATGCAGGCGGCAACGAAGCGGCACGTAATCTTGAACTTGACCCGAAGTATTTGGTTTTATAAGTTAGTTGAACGCTGTGGCGTATGCATTTCTTTTAGAATTTCGATATTTTTCGTTTTTCCTAGTTAAATTTTTAAAGTGGTTCAGAGTCCGAAATGTCAACATGAATGTTTCTCTATAGTTGTGTACATTTTTGGCAGCTATTCACTCGCGATTGCATTATAAATGAATGACATATATTTATGTTCTAGTATTTAATGCCCTAAAAAGTCTTAAGTTAAATGATTGTTCAAGTGAAGCACTGTACAAATAATTAAGCAAAATTACTTTGTGTGTATGTATAAATAATAATAGTGATTGTTATTAGTATAGAAAACAAAAATTAAAAGCAGTGCAAGAAACTAAATAAACTCAATGCGGAACATGTTATTTAAATCGAATGCTAATATGTATATATATGCATATATTTACTGTTCATAATGGAAGCAATTGTCGCAAGCGCGTGTAATCTAACTACTACATATGTATGTACATAAATACAGGGTCCGTTTATGTCTATACTCACACACACATATATATTTGCATGCATGCATACCGAGGGCGAGTGTACATGGACATTTCTGTATGTATGTATGTATGTGTGTGTGTGTGTGTGTGTGCTCAGAACAGCTGTAATGAAACGTCATGCGGGCTGCGGCTTCAGTCTGTGGCTCAGTCAGCTTGCCGATGCCGTCGCAGTTTCTTCTTTGTGCAATCCCGATTAAAAACGATCATCCAGCAAATTCCAGTGAGAACGGAACGAGCAAGGGCTGCCATTGCGCTGGACTACTGGAAGTCCAATGGAAGTCAATCAGAATGTGGGTAGGTGATGACCACAACTGAAGAGACTCTCTGGAAAGCTGCCTCTTATGTACAATATACTTTTGTGGGTTACTCCCGGACACGCAGCCTGAGTCAGCTCTTCAGCAACTAAATGCGCAGCTTAAGCGAACAAATAGTGTCACATTGCTTATCGTTTCGGGTTGTTGTTTTTATCGTAATTATTTGTTTTTTGCTTAACATTTCGCATAATCATAGTGCATGCGACCGTTGGCGGTGGCCTACATCCGAGCTACACATCATCAAAATATACAGGCTCATGTGACAATTATCAGCATATCGAAGTTTACATGGAGCCCACCGAGCGAACACCCCTGCTGCCCAGTGGAAGATCCTCCACATCCGAAACATCGTCCACTTCCGCTACAGTTCTCTTGTCTCCAGCGATATACACAAAGGAGTGCATCAATTGGCGCACCATCGGACTGCTCTTGATGTTCATCAGCGGACTGGTGATGGCCACCTATTTGCTCTGGCAACAAAGTAAGTGATGTGAGAGACTTTACTGTATTTTAGGAAACCGCTGTTAATTGAATCAATGTTACTTTGTTGCTTAATTTAATTTTTAATAAAAAAAAAACAATGATATAAAAATAATTCACTATGTGGCTGCAAATAAATATAATACTTAGTTGAATCTGAATCAGCTAGGCGGTTAACTAGAGAAGATTTTAATTCGCATTTGAATAATATATTAGTTAACAAGTCAACACAAATTTGTTTATTGATTTGGGCGCTTACACTTAAAAAAAAAAAACTTGTATACCTTGAACGAATATCAAGAGACTGAATGTTAGTTAGAGAAACCTAATTCGATATACTGATAATTTTTTTTCAATATAAAAGTGAAATGTAATATTTACGCCTATATACATATATATGCAATATATATCCAAATATTCAGATTTAATACTAATATATAATTTATGTTTATACTTTCAGCAATTGCTGTGCCTTATAATGGCTATAAATTGAATCTGATCAGACATGATATATGGAGTGGCGCATATTTGCATGATATCGCCCAGCTGGAGGCCAACAAAGTTGTCAATGTTTACATTACGCACACGGCGAGCGATGAGTGCAGCGAGAACTGTGCGAGTCTGCTGCATGGTCTGCAGGTGAGTCACAGGTGCAAGTCATTTATTTATTGCTGGCACTTATTGAATAACTTTCGTTTACAGCGCGCACACATCGGTGAGCTGCCGTTTAATTTCCTCTTGGCTGGCGACTGCGAGACCTACGAGGCGCGGGGCTGGCAGTATGTGAGCAGCTTTGCCGAGCTGCCGCAGTCGAGCTCCCTGGTGCTGGCCTTTGTTGGGGAGTTCAGCCAGTGGCTGCCTAGCATGTGCCAGCTGCAGATGGCTCAGGCGCTGCTCTGGGAGTCGCAGAGGCGCCTGAAGCTGCAGCCCGGCTATCAGCTGTATGTGCTGCGCAATGTGAGTCGCAGTGCGAGGGATGCAGACGCACTGCATCGGCAGCTACAGCGCTGGCCGTTCTATGCCGGCCAGCTGGAAGTGAACTAAATGACGCTGGCCAGTCGTTCCTCTCGTTTTGTTCTCTTTTATTATTGTACTCCACACAAAAAATATTATACAAAAGAAGCGCAGGATTATTAAAGCGGGGTGCCACCGAAAAGCGAAAGCGAGTGCCCGCTCCCAGTCCAGCGGAACAGTAGCTGCCAGCCGGGAAGATGAGCCAACAACAAAGCAAAGCGCTGCGTGTGCAAATTACAAATTAAGGATAATGCCTACAACTAAATCTTATCTATATATATATATATATCGAATAGCATAAGGGCCATTGGATCGGGTATCCGGYTGTGCCTAATCGAACTCCAGTTTTCGAAAACTGCCCTCGATGGACTCGATCTGTGAGACGAAATTGGTGCCCGTGCTGGTCTTCTCGGAATTGTAGCTGCTGCGTCGCTGGATGCCACGATCGGAGAGCAAGGTGCTCTGATCGAGGGCCAGAACGAGATCTCGTTTGCTAGCCAGCTCCTGCTTCCACAGCTCGATCATCTCACGCATGGGCATTGAGCCGCCCATCTCTTGGGGCAGGCACTCGGCATCGACGCTCTTCATCAGCTCCTTGTCGCTGCCATAGATGTTCAGGCGGTTTTTCATCTTGGAGCTGACGCGATTCTTCACAAAGTCAATCAGCCATTTCAGCGTGGAAGGCACATTGATCAGATGGATCTCCTTGTGGCGCATGGGCAGCGATTGTTCGCCCCATTTGAAGACGCGCGCAAACTCTGTGGGATTCCAGTTGGTCACATGCGCCGTAGTCACGCCCGCAAAGTCGCCCACATGACTCAGGCCCGTGATTTGCGTCTCCTGATCCTCCATGAGGCACTCGTAAGTCAGAAAATGCGCCTTTGCCTGATCGCAGCTTGTGTGAAACTTTGGATTCAAACCTTTGGCATTGATGATCACAACGCGTCGGCCGTGCTTGTCCCGCTTCGGCGCCGCAAATATGTAACCCTGTTCGATGAGGTGGGTCATACGCGGCTCCAGAAAGTCCAGCTTGGTGGCCATGTGTGGAAATGTGCGCCGAATGTTCAGATACTTGAGCAGCGTCTGCTCCGCCATCGGCACACTAAACTTTTTGGCGCGCAGAAAGCGCAACAGGAAGGTATCATCGCAGCGCACATTCTGCAGATCCTCGTTCTTTAGCACCCAGTTGCGCAGCTGCTCGAGGCTCTGCTCGCGCGTGCACTTGTCCTCGCGCAGCTCCCGCTTGGCAATCTTCAGCAATGATTCGGATAGCAACGAGGCGTCGCCCTCCTCCAATACCTTGGTCTCCTTCATGGCGACTGGACACTCGCTTCTGCTGTACTATGTGGCGTATACGCAATCTTATTTAGCTGTAGAAAGAGAGAGAAGAAAAGGCAACGGATTAGTTTTGATATGCTGAATATTTATATAATTGTTATAAGTTTAAAAATTAGCCAAAACTTAAAAGAAAGCTTTGTAGTGTATTGGTTTAATTAACTTGACCAATTGATCAATTGTTTTATCACGATGTTAATATAAAAGCCCTAATTTCATTATTTTGCTCACAGATCTCCATCGGCTAATCAACTCTAAACATTGTTTTAACTTAAGACAATCAAAGACACTATTCACAACTGCAAATAATTGGTTCAAGGTCTTGGCTCAAGGCTCAATTGGCAAATAAATATTTGCTAATTATGCCTAAAAACCAAATATATAAAATATATATATACACATATATTTACCCATCTGCAGAGAAATAGAAACAATCGCAAACTGAGTCTGATTCAGCGACTGCTTAAAGTAGCTTTTAATACATATGTAAATTATTTTCTTGCCGGACAATAAATTCAAATCATTTTATAAGCGCACAACGGATGAGCAAAAAAAAAAAAAAAACCAAAAAAAAAAAAAGAAATATATATATGCGAATTGGTTCAAGTTCAAAAACTTTTGTTGCCTGAAAGCGGGTCAAGCAAATATATGTAAATATGTATATATAAATTATATGTGTATATTTTTTATATACATATGTGGAACATTTTGAACTCGAGTCGTTGTCCCCGCCATAAGAAAGAGTTCAACTGTTTTTTTTGCAGCAGCTGTTTGTTGGCTTCAGACTTAAGCTTAATATGTTTTATGTTTTTTTTACCATTACATAAGTTGTTTTCCTGCTTTTAACTTTTTGTGCACATGCAAATTCACACAGATAATTATTGTACATATGTATGTAAAATGTGTCTATGGAAAGCCAGACAAACACAGTCACAATCACAGTAACAGTCACAGTCTCAGCTGGAGGCAGATTTACCTGATTTTCAACACTTCTGTTCCCCCACAGTTTGTGTACTCTTGTATACTTGTATGTATGTATGTATGTTCATATGACAGATTTATTTATTTTTCCATTCAAAGCTTTATATTTTGTCTTCCAACATTTTTTATACATAATATGATACAACCTAATAATTTGACATCTTATACAGTTATATGCAAGTCATTTCTTTAACTTTTTCTTTTACTTATTCAATCTTCTTCTATTAATACCTTACGGGGTAAAAACTTAGCAAGATACTTACATATATCTTATTTTTTTCTTTAAGTATATAAAAGTTAAATTTTCGGTCTCTTATTTCCCTTATTCATTATCATAATCATCTTTTGCTTTTCCTCTTTTTCTGTTACTATTTTCTTCTATTATAACTACATATAAATGCTTCCTGTTATCTAACTCCCTTTTTATTTTCATCTTATCTCTTCTTCAGTTATAATATCCAACCTTTTCATTGGCATTTTGTCTTGCCGGCCATCTTCTTGTCTCTTTCCTATGCTCCATCTCAACTCTCATCTGCCCCCATCTTTAACTCATATTAATCATGTTATTAACCCATACTCTCATAATTGAAAAAATCCATTCTAATATTGTAGGAGTATTTCAAATTTAGTTGTTCTGTTGACCTTTTTCGCCTTTGGTTCAAAAATGAATTAATTATTCGCCTTTAAAGTTTATATTTGCCTATTTGTTTGTTTCGTTTGTCAGTTTCGTTTCGTTTGTTGACTTCATTTGGTCATGATACATATGCAAATCAGTGGGCTCCCATGCAAATACTGTGACATTTAATTGATTCATGTTTGGCGTGGGTTTCTTGTTTATGGATTTATGCAATCATTAACTAAATCTGACCAAAAGATGCATTTCCAGCTAAAAATAACATCGAAAAAATTTGCATTTTCTTTCGAGTTTTCATCAGTCGAAAATGGGATTTCGAAAAATGTCGTCATTGGGCAATGACACCCACAAACATTCAGCGTCTACCAATGGTCTGTCTCCATCACAGTTCCCCACATTGGGCCACTCGATGACCAATGCAGCTCTCTACTGGAAGGGGTTTCAACATGTTTATTAGGCGCTTGGGGCTTGTCAAGTGGCTGTGCTTGTGGTGGTTGCTGTGGTTGAGCTGCTGGCTATTGCGTGGCTCTGCGGTGCCAGGCTAATATCGTACTGCAACTGAAGACATCAATATGAAGCTTCGACTGCAGTTTGCTAATTTCATAAATATTACTATTCAATTATGTCTGTTTTTTCATTTTCTTTTGCTTTGATATTTCGTAATTTTTTGCAATATTTTGTTTATTGCGGATTTTTTACAGATACAGATACACACAGAGACACACACACTTACACTGCAGGACTTGGTATCCTTTGCTCTTAAATATATTCTGTATAAATATGAATATAAATATAAATGTATATAAAGTCCAGTTATAGCTATAGCTATTTAGTTATATATCCAGTCGATAACTGGCGCGTCGCGTAACGGCACAACTGAGCAGCGCGAGCTCTGAACAACGAATGACGCAAAGCAACAAAAAGTGGCTTGAAAAAATGTTTAAAGAAATTAACTGGATTATATAATGGCCACACAGCGAAGCACTGAGAGCAGCAGCAGCAGCAGCAGCAGCGGCAGCAGAGGCTGAAGCTGAGGCTGTCCAAAACCGAATCCGAAATGCAATTTGATCGGTTGCTGTTGGTGTTGTTGGTGTTGCTGTTGTTGCTGTTGCTGCTGCATGGCAGCGAACAAGTTTTTTTTTTTTCAGAAAACCGAAAGTGCGCATGTAGACAGGCAAACCTTTTGGCCAGACTAGGCTGTTAGCCTGCCCAAGTCCAAGTCAACAGCAATCAAAGGTAGCGGCACAAAATGTTGTTGTTGTTGCTGCTGTTGCTGCTGTTATTGCTATTGAGCAATCTCAGTCAGTTGGTCAGTCGGTGAGCCACTGAGTCAGTTGCTTGGCTGGATAGTTGTCTTAAATCGAGCTGTTTTTTAGCTTAGCGGTTTTTTGCCTTTTCATGCCTTTTTCACTTTGTTTATTCCACTGATTTGTTGAGCTGTAAACATATTAATGATTAGGCTCATTGAAAGACGTCGAAACTCATTGCTCATGGCAAAAATTTGCATTTTCATGGCGCCCATTTCCAACAGCAGCAGCCAAAGCAACAACACCAGCTCGAACCTTGAAAACTAAATGCTTTGCTCTTATGTTTATTGCTGGTTGTTGTTGTTGTTGTTACTACTGCTGCTGCTGCTGCTGTTATTAGATGTTACAGCTAATGATGTTGCTGATGCACATAAAGTTTGAGGCAAATGAAAAAGGAAAAAAATCTCGAATCGTCATCCGCTTGGAAACATGTTTGTTGAGCTCTCCGCATATTATTGCTTGATTGAAATTTAAGTTCGATGTTAGACAATTGCATTAGCTGGGCGTTGAGGTCGAGTTTTTAGTATTTTGATTTTGTGTTTTTATTTATTTTGAAAAGAGGAAAAGCGAAAAGCGTTGGCTATTTTATTGTCATAACCTTTTGTTTCGCGGCCATACGAAATGGGTTTGGTATTACACAAYATTATTTATTTATTTAGCATAGCGAGTAGGTAGATCTCTCAAGCTACATTCCACGAGCCCTTCAAAGTCTAATGAAATTAACATGGAATAAAAAAAATAAAAAAATAGGCTAGTTAGTATCTTAAATTCAGATACTAAGCAGTGTAAAAATGTTATATGTCTGTTAATTTAATGGAATTGAGAGCGCGATTTCAATGTCAATTGATGAACTTTGGTAATTGAAATATCATGCGTTTTCTTAAGACTAACTGGTTTAATAGCCTGTTGATCTGTATCTAAGACAACTAATGGGTTTTGCTCTAGTTTTAGTTGGAGCTCCACCTGATTTTCACCACATTTTTGCCATTAACAGTTTTTGTTTGGTTTCAGTTGTTTACCCATTTTTTCCTACAGGCTTCGACCTTCAAGGCAGGTTTCAAAGCAGCTGATCGACCTACTCAACGACTTATAAACATTTTTTCTACTTTTTTTTCACACACTTGTGCGCCTTGTGTAATGTGCGCACTCATCGCTGGCACGTTTTTTAATATACATATATATATATAACTTTATATATATTCATTTATTTCTATATATATATTTTGCCTTTATTCACATACATATTTTCGCGCTCATAACGAGTTTACAACAGAAACTTCGTCCAATTGCTCCACATGGCCATAAAGATGCCGCCGCTCAAATGTGAACAATAATAGTTTTTAATAAACACATTACAGCGCACTACAGCAACTGAAGCAAGAGGGCCAACTTTGAAAGATAGACAATAACAATGACAATAGGAATTCGCAACAACTTCAACAAGCCATACGACTAAGCTTTTTCGAGTTAGGGAGACCTTTTTTGAAATACTTCAAGTTTGATTGGCAACAGTCTTTGCCCTTTTCTTTTGTAAACAATAATTAAAACGGTACAAAGATTTCAGGTTTATACCTTAATTATGTTACCAAAAAGGGCTTCTCTTTTCATCTTCTTCCACTTCTTATTAAGCTTAGCTTCTAGCATTATCTAAATGTTTAGCAATGGAATTGTTTAAGACAAAGTTGATCTTGCCAAAAATATACAAAAAATACTTTGAATGCGACGAATTTGGCAAAAACATTTTTGCATATGTTTTTGAGCATGTACAGAGTAAGAACGTAATTTATGATCTCTTTTTTTGGCAATAGCAGTGGGCGTTAAGCACCTTAGCAACAACTGCCAGCAAACATCGCTACAATTTACATTTATGTTTACTTAAAACGCAAAAGAACATGTTTAATTAAGCGGCATACATCATAAGTAGTCATTGCGAATGTACACGGGTAAACATTTCGGGTTTGGGGTTTGGGTTTACACGTTGACATTAGCACTTGCCACTGCATTGTTTAATTGTTATTGTTGGGTTTCAACAACGGTCTCTCGGTTGTAATTGCACAAGATAATACCAAAGTTTCTTGTGTCTTTGTTATTTTTTTTTCGGTCGTATTTCTTGTATGCCCACAAGAGTGTAATTAAAAAACTTACCTAATTGATTTTAGTGTTCAGCAGCCAACTGACGTTGATTTTCCGTTAACGCACGAGATTGAATTTCGGCAAAAACCACAAAACAAAACACAAGAAAACCTCGCAAAACCGCTTTTGAAACGTCTGCAGCTGACAAAAGTTCGAAGCAGAATCAAACAAAAGCGAACAAATCGCCAACTTAAAGTACAAAAAGCCAGGCTTGAAAATGCTTGCCTGCTTAGCAGAGTTTGACTAATGGCTGTTAATTCAATGTTGAATTCTTTTGAAATTCTATATATTTATTTAAGTATAAAATAATAATAAAAAAATGATTAATCACTTCTTTTCAATGAGCAATACTATCTAATCAATTAATTCATGTATAATCATAAAATTCAAGTTGGCGCTTAACACCAAGCTCAATAAAAGCAATAAGTCGTGATTTGGTTATCGAAGTTATCGAGAAACTCGTGTCCACCTTTGGCGCTGCAAAGCTCGCAAGCGAGCTTTTTGTGCTCCTTTACAGCACTGTTATTTAAACGGGATAAGGAAAGACGTGTTTGTTTTTGTCTGAGTGGTTGGTATTTTCTGTATTTTCTTATATGTAAATAAATTATAAATATATGTGTAGATTAAAGCTGCTAATTGTGTAATCTGTAATTTTAGATTTATATATGAATATGGTGCTTACAATATAAATTATAGCATAGAAAATCACAGTTGGTAAAGAATGCTCTTTACTGAGAATTATTTGCTCATTAGAAGAGTGAAGAGCCGGCCATATTTATGTTTTCAGATAAAATCATTTGCTGCACATCGCTGAACACGTCACGAATGCAACGCGTATCGGTGGCAACAGTGAAATGGTAATAGCACTCTCTCTCTGAGTAACTGACGTCGCATTGGTTGCGAGAGTTGCGCTTGAACTGCTCGTGAGTGATGTCAATCATCTTCTGCTTGATGAACATTTTCGTCCAGTCGCACTCATCAAAGCAGCTTTGTTGCTGTTGCGGCCGTTTACTGAACTCCTCGAATTCCGGAAAATAATCCACTATATGCTTGCCAGCGCGTATTTTCCGCTCCATAATATCATACTTGTTGAGGAAGACGATGAGGCCGGCGGAGGCGAGGAAGCGATTCTGCCAAACGGCACGGAACAAATTGAGCGCCTCCTGCAGGCGATTCTGTTTGGGATCCTCCCGTAGATTCTGATCGAATTCACTACAGGAAATGAGAAACAGCACCGCCTGAATGCCTTCAAATACTTGTATCCACTTGTTTCGCTCATCGCGCTGTCCGCCCACATCATACATGCGAAACTCCTGCTCTCCGCCGCCCAGACTCTTGGGTATGGGCACACGGAAGGTGATTTTCGAGATGCCAGTGGTTACCTTTCTGCTGTGCAAAATGTCCTCAGTGCTGGGAATATACTCCTCCTCAGATATTCTCGCAAAGTTATCAAGGAAACTGTAGAAGATGCGAAAAGCCAGATGTTAAAAACGAGTTCTGTTTGGGCATTGGCTAAAGGAACTTACTATTTGGCACTATCAAGCAGTGGGAATTCATTCGAGCGATCATAGCAGGCGCGTATGCCCACATCATTCCAGAGTGTCACAACATGGTCGCAGTACTCCTGTAATAAATGTATAAGATAATCCAAAATCAGTTTCAATGTCGCGATTGTGATTCATTTGCTTTTGGACAAGGGGAGAAAACCCAAAAACGGACTACGAAAACATTGTTGAATTTACTGACTGGCATTTATCTTATCGATCAATGTTTATCGATTGCTCGCCTCTGGTGGCACTGGCTATATAAATTGATTGACCGGCTCCCAAAAATGTGACTAACTCGCTCTACACTTTCCCACCGTCTGCAGGTCTTCCATTCCCAGGAAGTGTTTAATGAAAAAAAAGACAAAAAACACTTGTAGGAAAGTTTTTAACCAACTCATTTAGTTAATGACATTGCAATCAATCAAATCGCTCTGCCTGATAACAACTGCCGATCGCTCAACGAATTGCTCTTCGATCAATTGTCATATACATATGTATGTATGCACATATATTTGTATGTACATGGAAATAGGAATGAAACTAATACTGCAATAGAAATAGGAGATATCTCCGCTGTTGAAGGAGCAAGTATTTGTGTCTTGTGTTGTTTTGTTTGTGGGCAAAACGTGCCGCTTTGACGCAAGTTTCGAGTGTATGGAAAATCACTTTTCGTTGATTGTGCGGCTCAAGAACTAACGAAATTCTAACTGCGACAGCGTTTGAAGTGTGTTGCGTAGGATAAGATACTGGCAGAGCCGTTAGCTTTAGGTGGGATTATTGAATTGCTGTCACACTCACACGTACGTCTATGGCTATCACTCACCTCTGTAAAGTACTCCGGCGCCTCAACTGGCAGGGCCAGGATATAGTGAGCACTACGTTCGCTAGTGACACTGCCAAAACGCAAGCCCAGCGGCTCCATCTGCAGCACCAACTGCTTTATTGAGTCATGGATGTTCTGATAGATCTCAGGTATCTTTTCGCGACGTTCACTAAAGTTAAGATGAATACTTTATAGCGACCACTCACTCGACTGGGCCAGAGTTAGGCTTCACTTACTCATCTGTGAATCCGTTGATATGCAGTATGCGCATCTGCTTAATGATCGTTGTCTTGCCGGACTCGGCGGTGCCCAGCAGCAGGATCTTAACCGTCGTATCCTTGAAGTTGGAGGACATGTCAGTGATCATATGATGATGCACTTCCTCCTTCTGCCGCGTTGATTGCTTTGGGTTGCGCAAACAGCGCAAAAGTCTGCAATGCAAACAGACAACGGAAAATGAAATATTTACTTACATAGATGACTTCCAAAGAAAATACCCGCAAAGGTCTAATTAGCTATTTATAGAAGTGGGCGAATGTTTGCAATCTCGATACGCTTTTGCTAAATTAAAGAGCACACATTTATTTAGCTCTGATGTATGTTTAATTAAAAGCACACACACACGCACACTCGCACATCGACCCACTCCCTATAGATACAGAATACGCAATAGATAAAAACGAGCACAGAGCACCAATTGTGCTATACAGTCATAAAAAAGAAGAAGAAAAGTTTGTCTGGCTGGCGCGTTGTCTCGGTCTGCTTGTTTCTAGATGCTACACCAATTGGCAATTTCAGCGAGTACAAACATTAATTAGCTGCAACTATTTGCGCTGCTAATTGGCCTGCTGATCGAGCCCAGATCGGGCCGAGAAGGCACGTGTCGTGTCTTTCTTATCACCACACCAACCACTTAGCCGAGACACAGCCCCTAATTGTTGCATATTGTAGGAGGAGTCTGGCCTAACGATTGTCATAAATATTATGCACTTTGCTCTGGACAATTTGCTGGTCAATTGACTAATCATTCACAAAACAAATGAATCAAGTGCCAGGCGAACAGGGGCGCCGCAGAGAGTTCATTTGCAGAATTTATAGCGCCAATTTCAATTGGCAATTGACAAAATAAAGGCAATATTATAAAAAAAAATTATGGGACTTATTGCTGGCTGGTTGGCTGGCCAACCGTACCAGTGGCCACGCCCTCTAGTAGGCCGTTATCAAGTGTCGGGCGCCCCAACAATTCTCCAGATAGCACAACAACTTATCAGGCAACTGGCATCAACTTTACTGCCGGCGCTCAGCTCTCTCGCCTTGTGCTCCACATAATATTTATAGTGATAATGATGAAGCTAGCCTTTGGGGCATGTCTTATTCACTGGAAGTCAGTCTGTCTAACTGTCTACCTGTCCGGCCGTGTGTCGCAATACCTATGTTTACTATTTAAACGGAACCATAACCTATCCCCCAATCATTCTACGGTCTCTGCCTATGATGATGAGTCAGCCTAGCGAACGAATTAGAATTATTTTTGTATGTATTTTATTTACTTTTATAGCCAGGAAATTGATTTAGCTGGCCTTACATTTATGACTATAATTTCAAATACTGTCCGTTGAACTCTATTACAACATTTGAGCCTAGCAACAGAGCTATTATGGTCAACTATTTGACTATCAGCGTTTGGTTCCTTATTAACCCAACTAACCAAGTCCCGTGCTAATCTAAAAAGCTATAAAAATTAAGAAACTGTACATTTGACTAATTATTTTCATGTGCCAATACTGCAAATAGAGATATTGCAAACATTTATATTACTAAAGGTCGTTGATTGTGAAGCGAATTGGTTTGCTTTTCATACGGGCATTAGGAGACATTAGAAATAGAAATATTTTTTGCTTGACTATTCTTAGAGGCAGATATTTGAAGAACATTACTTTAACATATTAGCTTTCTAACAAGTCGGATAGAGAAGTGATAAATAGTTTGCTAAAATACAATTTTAAGTTTCAGTTTCAAATTGCTTCAAAAATACTTTATGTGAATGGCAAGTATGATAAATATATAGTATGTATGTACTACATGGGTAATATCTAAAAATACTATATTTCTGTATGTAAAATTCCTAAACAGTTGCATCATCTTTTAAAATATAATGTAATGTAATTAGCAACAAAAGACCTTTAACCTTTAACTACTTATGAATGCAGGTGAACGTAAGCGGGAAGGGAACAATTTCCATTCCACTGATAGGGTTGATAGGTTTTTTGACATATCACGCTGATATAATATTATATGAGCTTATAATTGTCTACTGCAATTCAAAATTGACTTTGAATGGATTTTCTAGTAAAAGTAATCGTAGCTTATCAAACCTTGATCAAAATGGCACGTTTTCTCACCTCAGTTTCATGTTGATTAATGTTTCTTCAATCTTGATTGCTTAAGTTTCTTTAGCTGTTATTGCTTGTTGTAATTTTATTTGTTTATATTATTTCTCTTTCTCTCTTCTTATTGCACACAGTTCACTTGAATACTTTGAATTCTTTAGCTTGTTGACAGTTTATGTTTATGCCAGAGTTGGTCTTTGTTTTGATAGCACTCGACGGATGATCTTCAAATAGCTGTCCATTTAGCTAGACTTTTTATTTCACTTTCTGTTGAAGAGCTCCGCACGACACGTCTAACGTTCTTTTCTGGTGTCACAGTACTGGAACTCCGAGCGAATGGTCTTATTTATTAAATACCTAGCCCGACGAACCCTGTGCCGTGCGGACGAGCTGCAATCGTTTGTTAATTGCTTGTACGAAGTGAGAATGTACAATAGCTGCGATAAGATAACCTGGCCAATTTGTGCACATATGTATATAGTGGCCACTATCTGGGAGGGCGAGAGCCAAGCGGCTTTATCGATGAGGAGTGAGAGAGAGCTATATAGAAAGAGGGAGAGCGGAAGCAGATCACGAGAGTTTAGCCAGCCATAATCACGCCTGCCTTTTGTGGCTCAATAACAAAAACAATAACAACATTTGATCCTATTTCTGTTTAGATTCCACTGCCCCGGCATACACCTGAGCACATTGGCTCAGGTGTTAGTTTTGACATTCGACAGGATAGTGTTTGATTAAGCCCTGGCCCACTTACCACTCACATTGTTTGGCCACTTGCCAATGGAATTCTACCTGGTGGACGTGAGCTATATGCAGATGCACTCGAAGCGATGGATTACACGAATTACCCATGGAAATGTGGCGCTGGCAAATTTATGAATCGTTGTTTTCTGATACTCATTGTCTAGTGTTTACATTTGCACTATATATGATTAAATGGATTGCTAGCAGCTTTATATTTGTGGGTACACAAAAACAGCAATAGCAACAGCAAGAGCAACAGCAACAGTAAAAAACAACAATATCGAAACACTTGAAAGTACATGTAATTAAAATACCATCCCAAAAAGCTGTTACCAGCTCGTGATATCGTGCATGTCACTCGATTATTGTTTGTCGATTGTTGCTGTGTAACGAACTAATCGGCAGGCTATACAGGCTCTGTCATCCCTAACCAGCATAAGCTGGGACGATTTATAGCCATCACTGACAGCAGCCTGTTGCCAGCCAACGATGCGTATGTGTAACCAATTGCTCTTGGTTCAGGGGCGAACACAATGTCTACCGACTGCTGAATGATGAGTGTCAATGGCAGACTCAATGCCACCCAAAAAAGTACTCAGACTGATCATTGTGTTGTTCTGTTTTGCAGACAACAATTCGTTGAACCCAATTCAAGTGGTTGCTTAACTCAACTCTCGAGCGGCCTTTAGGTGCTGAAGGGGGTATCCAAGTCATCGGGGCAAGGTCAGTCGATCAGCTCTTTAATTGCCCAGTCAATGCTCACTGTGATTGGGTTTGCTATCAATACCGTAATTGTTATATGATTTTATTTGTTTGCTTGTCTGGAACTGAAATCTGTTGAATATTTGGGGCTAGGCAAATGCAGCAATTATTATCTATTTGCAAAAAATTTTCCTTCAAATCATATAATCTTTATGAGTTTCGCACGATACCCAAACGTGCCCAGTCATGGATACAATTTTCACTCATATACCTTCTCAGGTGACTAAGAAATAAAAGCAATAACGAAAACATGCTCCGAAGATTAAATACCCTAACAGATAAGCGAATTTTAAGACTCCTTATATCTCGAATGATAAAGAACTTTATAGAACTCAAGCTCGGACGGCTTATCCAGCATGATACAATGGTGGAATCGAACCGCATCTAGATAGAAATTCCGCGTCATAAATATATTTTTCTATTATTCTATTATGATATCATTGATATCTTGTTAATGTTACAATTTTCATGATAAATTCATAACTACCCTAAAGAACCCTAAGAACACCAATAAATTGACACGAAACTTTTACCTCCTAGTACTTATCGTTGACTCAAATTTCACAATAATTTGATTAATTAACAACAAGCTTAGTCAATACTAGATAATTACCTAGTAATGCTTGGAATGCCAACTATTTGGTTTGAAGTTCAATTATCAATAACAATACAAACCCGAAAAACAAGTCGCCATTCATTTCCCAGTATCAATTGGCTCCTTCACTTGATAATCTGTATTGGAAGATCTGCTCGACGATTCTCTAGAAACTCGCGAAAAAATAACGATCTAACTACGTGAAGCTCCAAACACCAATTACTCAGCTATTCAAATGGCTAATGAACAATATAACCGGATCCTAAGCTGTATAACCATGAGTTTATGTTATATAAATCAGATTTGAGGCGTGGCCATAAATTTTGCCGATTTGGATCTTGGCAAAAAATAAAATAAAATAACAACAACAAAAACAGAGCTGGGAGAGTCGAACATGGCGCTAATCGGTAATCGGTAATTGATAAAGCTTTCAATGCATTCCGTCCTCCAAGAACTCTTGAAAAGTCAACAATTTTCGGTGTGTACGCAAAAACAAGAAAATTATCATAATCAGTAATTTCTTTACTCAATTGGCAAGACAGCAATGTTTATCTGAGGGTTGTACATTGAATTTATTAGTTTTCAATACTAGCTATACATCTTTGTTGTCCTATGTATCGCATGGGAACATAGGATTTCCTCTTCACATTTTACTTCATTCCTCTTCTTCTCCTACATTTTCTCTCGGCACCATACCAACTCTTCATGTAATTCATTAGGACTACGGGCTTAGAGTAATTTTAACCAAACCGAACCTAGTATAATCTTTACTTATACGATTAAGCAACTAATTAAGTTGTTTATTTAAGACACTCATTTTAATTGTTATACTATTTGGCGAGCCCCTTATTGCAGATACATATAAAAAACTAAAGTAAGCTGAGAATACTCACGTAATCAGCAGGTTACGTCGGCTCTAAATATGGTATAGGGGCAAATATGAAACGTGATCTAAGATCCATAATTAGTGACAGCTGTCAAAAGGGAATGAATGTTGCAGGTGGGTGTGTGTGTGAGTGTGTATGCGAGTATTATATATGATACATCCGTATCAGGCTGCAGCCGCATGTGTCTGATAAGGCTCCAGTTTGCCTCTCGCTCCTGTTTCTGTCTAATTTGACAAACAGGCGACAAAACAAGGCGTTGATTATCTATCGGCCCCAGCGATGGGAACTCCGCTATTTGGAGTGGGGGGCAAATCGGAATTTTTGCAATGTTGACAAGCATTTGATTAAAGAGTCTACTAACACGTACGCGGTACATGTCTGTGGGGTAGATGATGGATGAAACTGGTGTTGAATGATAGCAATTATATCAACAACATTTGAATCATCAGCTCCATGAGGAAAATCTTCTCCCTATTGCCTAAGACTGCTGACGTTAACTCTGCTACGCAATATGGTGCTATACGTATATAGAGTTAATCCAGTCCAAAAAAGAACCGTTTTATAAGTCTAAAGTGTCGTAAAACACAAACAGGTATATACTAGTTTCAAGACAAATCCTAGTCAATAAAGTTATTGGCAAACTTAAGCCTATTTTAGTGACCATTCTTACAATCCATTTACTTAATTTTATCAAAAACATCCTCCTTGTGTAAGTGGTAAGGCGCCATTTACCAGGCAAACATTTTCTGCGTCGTCTAAAATTAGAAGAGCTCAGTTTATGGAGCGCATAATAAAGATGTTGAGATTATACAAATGACCTAATCGGACTATAATTAACAGCATTAAGTTTGATCAAGTGCTTACGCCTTTCCTACTACACACTTTACTGCCAGTACTTCAAGTATATATATTTAACAGGAGCTTATTGTAGTTGTCTATTGTGTTGTGGCGTTGTAAGTACAGGGTATCTGACTTCTCATACAGTTAGAAAACTTTATTGTTAATTACCATTTTACAGCTTACTCATAGTCTTTTGAAGAGCTTGTCTTAAATATTGTACATTGGCATACAGCAAACATTATATAGAACGAACGACATTGTCTCTAGTTAAATATATATGTTATATGTATATGTATATTACACTCTAGGCGAAATTTAATAGATATAAATCGAATGTATTGACAGTATTACTGAATCTGGTTACGTTTGCGACCGACCTGACCTCATTTCAGTATGGACCATTTCAACTGTTCGCGCGCCGATTGCAACACCTGAAATAGAGAAACATCAGAAAGCAATTAACTAATGTACTTGTTCAGAAATGATAAGTGAAATAAAATGCATATTGCTGTCAATGAGCCAATACTACACATTTATTTTGATCAAACGAAAGGAATACAACTAATAGAGTAAACTCTAACATAACATAAATTAATATATATAAGTGCTGCATAGGTTTAAATACATCTAGTTTAACTTGAAAGAGCGAGCATTTGATATGCCTAGATATTGTTCATAGAGTTGGATTAGGAAACTGTTTGTGCTAGTGCTACCAAAATAGACCATTTAGTGTGTTAGTTACCTGAGCCACGGTCTGTTCGGCAATTGGAATATCCTCGTTGCGTAAATCGACACGTTTCACCACAGACGATGGATCCGCATCCAGAATTATGCTGCAAAAACAAATCATATATAAATCGCATCGTTTATTTAGTTGTTCAACTACTTACCCGCCATCGCAAATCTCATCAAATGCCAACATAATAATCTCCAGGTTATCCAGCACCAGGCGCTTCTCAACGTTCTTTTTCAGGATAAGGCTTATGGAGTCATACAAACAGTTGAGCACCGACAGCAATATCAGCTCATTTTCGTACGCGTTGCCCATCACGTAGAAGAACAAGTCCACGTTGCTCTTGTAAACACACGTCAGACCATCGAGCATGATGATTTCAGTGTTGGAGCGGTGCGTCTTGTTAAACAAATTTTTCTCAAACGCCTTCTGCTCCTTCAACGTGGACAGAATGTTTTTGTCATAGTACTTAGCCAGTATCCGGTTGCCATCATTATCCATAATGCACATGCCCTTGATAATGTCCTACACAGCAAAGGAGTGTCATATTTTAGTTAAGCCATAGTCAACATTTAAATTCACAATTACCATCATAAATCCGTCCATCTTGTTGCCAGCAAAACACAATTCTTTACGGCCGCTACGCATTTACCAGCACTGGTTTGTTTATTCGATAAGAGACAGCTGTTTATTGTTGAGTTATCGATGAACGCTAGTTATGTTATGCTGTTTCTATTCTGTTAACTTGAATTTGTTATCGATTTGACAGTTTAACGGCTTTTGAAATTATGGCTTTGTAGCAACAATGCTTTTCCTCAAATGTTATGTGCTCAACCATAATTAACAAAAATATTATTGAACCTATACCGTACTAAATTGTGAAATTAGAACAACACACACACAAACACTTTTGCGAGCTTGCAAACGAAATTTATCATCTCCACTGAATTATATTTTTGTTGATAGCTTGATGTAATGGATAGTTCGCCAGATAACGGCGCATATCAAGAGTTAAAAGAATTTTCCAAAGAGGCAAAGCACGCTAAAGAGGACGTTGGGTTTGTCGGAGCACGCAAGCCCCCTCGACGTAAGAACGATAAAGTTGATTGCCATGTCGTCGTAGGTACCGCAGCTGTCCGTCCAAAGTCCCTTAAATCAGACGGAAAAAAGCTGCGCAAGAAGCTCATGGAGTTCGAGCAAGAGAACCAAACGCTGGCCAAGACTATCACAGACAAGAACCAAGAGATTTGTGCACTCAAGCGCTCAGTGGACTCACTAAATGAAGTGCTCAATTCAGTGCCCATCGATGAGCTGCGCTGCAATTCCTCTATTGCCGGCACCAAGATATTGGAGTTAAGCAAAAAGAATCGTCAAATGCGCGCTGAATTGGAGCAGTTCAAGAATCGCATAAACAAAAAAGATCTCCAAATTGAGAAATTGGAAAGGGAACTAAAGTCTAACGAAGAGAAGTTGCAGCAGACCGGAGAGCTACTAAAGAAGGGCAATGCTACAGAAGAGCTTCAGGCAAAGATTACCAGCATGCAGCAGAAGCTTTTCGAGACACGTAACAAGAATACTGAGCTGCAGAACCAGTTGAAGCTGGCCCACAAGTGTTTGCAGCACGAGATTGGGGAGGCTGTCAATGTGAACATCTTGTCCAATAATCTGAATCAGGCCAACTGGCGTGGTCGTGCTCAACAAATTCTAGCATTGCAACAGAAGCTCCAGGAGCTTAAGGCACGCCTGGATACCTATGAGAATGGTGCATGCGATCGTGCTGACTTTATGCCATTGCCACTTGGAACGGATCTGGAACTGGGCAGCACCCACAGCTTGAAGTTAACGCCACGTGGTGTGAAGGCTCTTCATTCGCCGGGCAGACACAGCTCCAGTGTTAGCCTGGGCGCCGGCGACACTGGTGGAGCCACATTTGATCGCTTTACGCCGGGCGTGCGCAAAAGTGAGATCTTGCACCGGGCCAAGGTTGAGACCATGGAGAAGGAGATCGCGGCACTGCAGGCACAGCTGGACGAGCAGCGCAGTCGCAATCTGGCACTCAAGGTGCGCAACAAGACTCTCAACGAGGAGATGCTCAAGTACAAGATGCGCTCCAACGAACTGGAGGAGCTGTCTGATTGCAGTGGCGTCAATGCCAACACCATGAACGATAAATTGAATCGTCAGCGAAATCAATATGAAAGCCGTTTGGAGGAGATGCGGAATGATGTCATACGCATCAGCGAGGAACGCGACACTGCCAAGCGCCAGAAGGAGGAGCTGAGCGGCATGAACCTGGAGTTGGAAACCCAGCTGAAGCAGAAGGATTGCAATATACAAACTCTTCAGGAGATGATTAAGAAACTGGAGACAGATTTGCGTGCTGTCACTGGAGGCTTTCTCTTCTCTTGTCGCGAGTTTCGTAAGGTGAGTCAGAAACAGAAATGTATACCAAAAAATGCTAAAAATTCTTTGCAGGAAGAATTTGTGGGCATACTGGATGCTTTAGAGGTGGAGAAGAATCAAATGATGTTGCTGAATAAAACTTTGGACGAACGCCTTGCAGCAGAGCGCCTGAAGAACGACTCATCTACCGATCTGATTGCCAAGCAGAAGACACGCATCTCTCGCATGGACGCCAAAATACGTGAGCTCGAGAAAGAGCTCGATATTCAGTCGGATCGCAAGAAGCGCACTCAACGTATAACCGAATATGCTAATGCACTCGGACGCACTCCATTGACCGGGTCGATCAGTTCCTTTAGTTTTGACAATCAGTCACAATGCCCATCGGTTACCTCGTTCAACTCAGTGGGCGACGAGTCAAAGTTGGAAGATATGAAGAATCAGTAAGTGGCACACATCACTTGAAATATTTATACAATTTTTATTCCCGCACAGATTGGAGCTGGCCAATGAGAAGATCACCATGCTCACCGAAAAGTTGGAGTATATAACTGAGGAGAAACGCGCCGATGCCAAGTTCTTCGAGGAGACAATGCTGAACTCCAAGAATATCATATTGGACACCATACTGGGCTCTCGCAGCGGTGTCAGCCAGCCAACAATCAACAAACCGGAAGGACAGCTCGAGTTGCCTGTCATTAACAATGCTTGAGTCCGAGCAATGTTTTCATGTCTTAGTTATGTTTCTTTAGTTCTTATATCATGTTCCATGTGGCAGAATTAAATTTCAATGATAAAAATGTAAGCAAAGCTTAAATTTGATTCGAGGAAAGCAAAAGAAAGGATAAGTTGGATTGAGAACGAGGCAGGGGCTACAAAGTAAAGTAGATAAGGTTAGAGCAACAAACTGAATTTTGTCTGTAAGTCTGTATAAAGGCTTTCAATTTAATATAAATCTGTTTCTTCATCAAAGTCAAGCCAATTAGACACATTAAAGTATTTCCATATAAATATAGTTATTTTTTTTTTTTTTTGTAATTTTGTAGTTTTATTTGTAACACTTTGAAAACGAAGCCTTTGGCGCTGCTTCACTTGATTTTTGTTATGTTAAGTTTGTTTTGTTGTTGTATTAATTATATAATTGTTTAAWATTTAGGCATATTTCATAGTACAATTGCAAGTGGCTTTAAGTTTATGTGTGAATATGCATATGTATTTATATTAGTTAATTATTGCATACTTGCAGCTGTGTACGTGTACGCGTGTGTGTGTGTATGTAATACCATTTATTGGCTATAAACTATCGCGCGTGTATATTATATGACAACAATTACAAAGTTTCTCCATAAACACCATCACATATTTGTATATTATTCATATATTGTAATATTGTATGTCGTATCAGATATATATATATTTTATAATAAAACAAATTGTTTATCAAACGGTATTTTAGGCTTGCTTGAAATTCGTTTCGATTTGTTAGTCATATTTCCATATATAGTCTATATTTATATTTAGTGTATTATACGATAAGCCTAGTAAATGGTTTATCTAAAAAACACGTTTAGCAAATTAAAGGCACTTCAAGGATTTTAATAAACGAAACAATTTCAAATATCCTAGAATTATTAGAAACGAAAACAAATTGCAAGTGCTTATATTATTTATATAATAATGAATAAAGAGTTTGAAGAAACACTTTGGCAGGTGAGCAAATCAATCGCAATTAATTGCCTACCTGCGTTTGAGCTTATGCAACACGCATAATTTCATATTCATTTTTCTTCAGTTACGATTTCTAGTTAAATTGACAAAATTGTAGGGATACGCATCCAATTCTTCCATCTAGATGCCGCAAAGCTTTTTGAAAAAGCACAAGTTTAGCTTAGGCTGCCCGAACATTATATTAACTATGCTGCATTGATTATTTCATTCACTGTTATTGTGTATCAAGTATTTAGTTGCTCAATATCTCTTACCAATACTAGACTCTAATTCCATTAGAAGCTATATATATAGACATATGTATATATATATATATATTGTGTGACAATTTGAATTTGTTAAAATGTTTGGCTAGGCATATGTAGAATCCAATTAATTATTGGTTAGCTGGCATTTTAGATAGTTGATTAATTATTCAGTTATTGTATATAATTCAATAAATATTTTCCTAAATTTTACGGCCTTTTCTTTTGTAGATAAATGCAAAAATTTTGGCTGGGTTAGCTTGGTCGCTTAAATTGGAAAATGTTTTTGCCCATTTTCAGCATGTAAAATTACAAAAATTTTCGCTCATTGTTTTGTTGCTCTCAAATTGTTGTTGTTATTGTGGCTTGTTCATTTTTTTTATTGTATATGGATATTATTCTTATAAATGGCTTATAGTTTTTTGTTTTTCATGGTTCAATTTCACATTCAATTTTATGCTATAAATTTTACAATTGTTTTTCTTCAGTTTTTTCTGTGTTATGTTCGTTCTCATTTCCCTTTGTTTTACATGTTGGCCTGTCGACTATATATACTCTCTCTATATATATATATTTATGAAATTATGTATTTTTATATGGGTGTGTGTGTATGTGTGGGATTAGGCGTGAGTAGGTGAGTGTGTGTGTGTGTGGGTATATCTCAGCGCCGCCTGAATACGTGGTTGAAATAGTAGTAAATATCCTGTTCCGCCTGCTGCTGTTGGGGAGTCTTTCGTGTTGGCTGCTGTTGATGCTGCTTCGGATCCACTTGTGGATGATAATTGTTGTAGTGATGATAGCCATGCATGTCGTATGGATTGTGGTGTCCGGGATGCATGCCCGGATGTATGCCCGCACCACCACCGCCGCCGCCGCCGCCACCCATCATCGGATTGCCGCCTGCCCGCATTAGATTCGTGTGCATATTACGATCAGCCAGAAAGACATTGATGAAGAAGATCAGCACGAGCAATATATACAGCAGGCAGACCAGTATGACCACAAACTGCTGGCGGCAGCAGCAGTAGTAGCACATTCCCTATTATATAACCGCCTGCTCCACATAGTTGGCGGGCAGCATGCCGGTCTTGCCGGTGCGCTCCACACGTCCGGTCATCCAGCCGGAGTCAATTGATTCCACCTCGAATATAACATCGCCCTCGCGAAAACTAACCTCGTCCACATCCTGTGCCTCATAGTCATAAATGGCTCGATAGACGCGCTAATAAATGAAGAAGTCTTCGATTAGCTCCAATCTCAAATAATTGAATTGCATTACTCACCAAGTTGCCTTGGCGCGACTGTTTGTCCTGCAGCTGGGCTGCCTGTTGACGCGCCTGCTGTTGCTGCTGCTCCTGCTGCTGCATCATTTGCACCTGCTGATAATATTGCTGCTGTTTCTGGGCCTGCGCCTGCTCGCTGGTCAGTGAGCCGTAAATGCCATTGGCGGGATCTATGTCCGAGATGGAGCCAATGCGTTTGGGATAAACGCTATTACCTGTTGGGATCAACGAATTTGTTAGACTGTGAATTAGCACATCTATCAATTTACATTGGGGGACAAGGACAAGGACAAGATGACGGTGATGCACATCGAGCTAAGCTAAGCTGAGCGCTACCGAACTACCAGCTAGCCTGCCACTGACCCCCTCGACAGCAGTCTGATCTACTTACCCACGGCTGCGGCGCCGCGCTGATCGGAGCTGTACACCAGAGTGGTGCTAGAGCGTCCGGTGGCTGGCATCGGCCGTGGTCCGTCCGTCAGCGGATCATAGTCGGCAATTTTGCCAATGTTGTTGCTGCTCTGCTGTGCGTTCAAATGGCCATTGCTGGCCTGCAGCTTGGCGCCCAAAGCGTTCTCGGAAGGCGTTACCGCACTATAGTTGGATGCCACATACAGCTGCTGCACATTGGTGTTGCTCTGATGTTGCTGTTGCTGCATCTGCAGCTGATGCTTGGAGTTGTTGCTGTGCACGCTCGACTGGGAGCGCACCTGCTGCGGTTGCTGCTGCTGCTGCTGTGTGTAGCTCAAACTGGCCGGATGCGGATGTGCCAGGCCGCCATTGTTGTTGTTGTTGTTGTTGCTGTGAATGCTGCCGTTGCTGGCATTGTTGTTCAGCAGACTGCTGTGCGAATGTTGCTGCTGGATAGCTGGCTGTTGCAGTTGCTGCTGTGAGTGCTGCTGCTGCAATTGCTGTTGCAACTGTTGCTGATGCAGCGCCGTTGCCGAGTTCTGGCTGTGATCGAACTGGTCCGCCGCATTTCCACTGGGATGATGTGAGTTGTGCAAAATGGCCGAGCGCAGCTGATTGTAGCTATTGACCGCCTGCGGCTGTTGTTGCTGTTGCTGCTGCTGCGACTGCTGTGACTGCGATATTGCTGTGGGATACAGATGTGAGGATTGTTTAATGGCATGTTGCTGCTGTTGCTGTTGTTGCTGCTGCTGCTGCAGCAACTGTTGCTGGCGCAGCGCCTGTGGCTGTTGATAGTGTGCGTATGGATCGTGCTGCGGCTGTTGCTGCTGCTGCTGCTGCTGCTGCCTGTGATTTTGTTGCTGCAGCAGCTGATGCTGCTGCTGTGGCAGCTGCTGGTGTTGGTGTTGATATGTGGGCGTTATGGCCGCCGTATTGTATTGCTGGTGTTGTATTGGTGGTGGTGGCAGCGTTTGTTGTTGTTGTACATAGTGTTGGTGTTGTTGTTGCTGGTATTGTTGGTGCTGCTGCTGCTGCTGCTGCTGCTGTTGATGCAGTGTTGCTGGCGGTATGGGCGAGGCTGTGGGTGCATATTGCGAGAATTGTTCAGCTGCCAATTGCTCAGAGAAATATTCCGATTCGTCTGCACCAATTAAGTTTTTAGTTCATTCCCCCAGAGTTAGATTTTTTATGCATGTGTGTGTGTTGGTGTTTTTTTTAAGAGTGTTGTGTAACGTTAGGTTAACGGTAGTTCAGAAAGCACACACAATTTATGAGCGCGTTCAATGTTGTTGTTGTTGTTGTTGGAGTTGATGAATGAGCAACAAATGATAAGCGAAAACGATAAAAACAAATAAAGAAAAAAATAACAAAAGGAATTATAATCAATAAATTAATTACAATGTGCGAGACAGATAGATAGCTGTGGCCTGTGCTGCTGCACCGTGGTGCAGGGTTAATTTTGGTTAGTAAATGAAATGAAATGAATCAAAATGTTATATGTACAGAACAGTGTTGGCAAACAGTGTTGGTAATTGTGTGTGCATGCGAGTGTGTTTGTGAACCGAGCTCTAACCACATTTCATAGCAAACATAGCAGACTTCACACCACTGTGCGCGCATAATGCGCTCTAATGAGCATTATAAATGATAATTTAATCTGTTTAGTCACATTTAATGCATATGAATTGACGACAATTGCTGGTAATCGCGCAAACAAATTCAAAAGCCAAATTAACTTCACTCTAAACGCATTTTAGCCAACAATTGCCAGCACTTACAGGTGAGATAGTGATATATTGAGACAGACAGAGAGAGAGATAGAGATAGCAGGAAATGGGCAAACAGACAGAGAGATAGGAAAATTGGTTACTCACTGCTGCTGTCAGAGACCTCGGCGGAGCCGCGCTGCTTCTCCATAGCTGCCTTCTTCTCCAGATCGCCGTGATATGCCACATTCGATATGTGCTTCGTGTTTTGTTTGATGCGCAGCGTTTCCGGGTCGTCTGCCACCTGTCGAGCGTTCAAGAAGTTCAATGTTAATTATCATGATGGAAATGCACACACACACACACACATATATATGTATATATATATATACATATATATATAGTCGACTCGCATAACTGACCTGTGTAAATTTGCCTTTGGCCTTCTCGAAGTCTGCATGGTATTTAACGTTCGATTGGATTTTCGTATTTTCCGCGATGCGCTTCAGCTCGGGCGTATCCGCAATCGCCGTTGCCTTGGCCTTGGGTATGTGCCTGCAAATAGTCAAAGAGAGAGACAGAGAGAGATTAATTCTCACAACTTGTATAACAGAAAATCTAGCAAAAATGTCGGCATAAAGTTCAACTTGCCGCCGGTCAATTTCGATTTGGACAGTTGGCTACAAAATTTTCTACTGCTGCATTGCGGAAACAGCAACAAACATCTGCTGATGTTGCTGCTGCTGCTGTTGCTGCTCCTGCTGTTGTTGTTGTTGCTCCGCCCACCCTGGCTGCCGCTGGGCATCAGGCGCATATCATTTAGCCCCACTTGAACGTATGGTTTTTCGTTCGCTCGTCTTTAGTTTCGTGTGAAGCACCCACCTCTGACCCCTAGCTCCCAACCTCTCCCTTGCCCCTTCACCCACCCACCTCCTCCWCGGCCTGTTGTTTTATCAATTAAAACCACATTTGTGGCATTTCGTTTCGTTTCATTTCGGTCTTTATATTTTTTTTATTATTATGACTGACTGCCCACCCCAGCACTTGGGGCAGCTAACGGTTAATGCACGTTGCTGCTAGTGAATTATTAAAGCGCAGCTAAATGCAATTTGCCACCACAGCCGAAGAAAAGTTTTGTGGCTCAGACTTAATTTCTACAGCAATTACTTTTCGCTTCGAGTGCTTTTTGGCATATTGGGGAAGGTGCGAAGGCATTAGCATAAGATTGGAAAATCTTTGTGGGTTTGTGGCTTGATTATCTGAGAAACTCTCAGCTAATTTATATGTGGCTCAACTTGAATTCTTGAGAATTGCTTAGAGAGGCACTGTTTATTAAGCAATTCAAAGATGGACTTCAAGTTAGGGGAATCAAAATAAGAAAGTGAATGATAATGAATGAAGATAATTATTTACCAGTAATCAAAACAGAAGAAAGATAGAGAAATGTACATATTATATTTATAAGCCCATATATTGAACAACAATTCCAGGAATATGCAATCTATTGATATGATTAATGCTCCCCATGGACTAATACATCAATTAAATTATGGCGAAAAAATATGGAAAGAAGAGAAAACCAAAGCCAAATAAACAAACAACTTGGTACACAAGCGCAATATGTAACCATAAAGTACACACACACACATGGACAACAATATATAGGGAGAGTATGTGTATGTGTGTGTGTGTGTGTGTGTGTTTGTTTATGCTGTGGAGTCTTTTAACCTATCAGTTGGCTAATCGATCGATTGATTGCAGCGACTGATAACCACAGCAACAGCAACAGCAATGTCTGCAACAACAGCTAGCCAAAGGTTGATAAACCCATTCCCTAACCCTTCCCCTTGCTTCAATTTGCCCACCCCCTTGGGCACTTCCCTCGCCCCATGCCCCATGCCCCATGCCCCATTCATAGTGTAATTGTAATTGCGCGCAACTAAATTGGCTTATAGAATATTTATGGATTTATCGTGCGTATATCGAGCACAGCTGTCGCCAGTTGTTGTAGACGACATTGGAATGCAAAGGGGGGACTGGGAGGGGCGCAACGATTTAAAGAGCGGCTTTGCCTTACAATTATTTAGTTTATTAATTGTATTTGTATCTGTGCAAATTCCATAGCAGCTGCTAATTCCATATGGTGGTGCTGCTGCTGCTGCTGCTAGTTATGCAACCCTCAATTCCAATTTGTGGGTGGTGCAGTGGTGCAGTGGCGCAAGGCCGTTTAATGACCAATGACCGGTCGCTCATGCATGTAGGTCTGCGGCGCAAGTTGTTGGCTGTTGGTGTTGCTGTTGTTGCAGGCTTTGCTTTAATGCTGTAACAAAAGCTTATGTTGTTGTTGTTGCTGGCACACATTGTATTGTTGTTGTTGTTGTTGCTGTTAGCTGGCTGATGATGACATAACAATGCTTAAGCGCCAGCGGCTGCATTGGCCAGAGCAACGTAACAGCGGATGTCTCGGCACGTTCCCAATAGATCAACAGCAGCAGTAGCAGCAGCAACTGCAGCAACGGCAGCAACACGCACGCCAGCAACAACAACAGCAACCAGAGCAGCGGCTGTGCGTGACATGCCACTATTGTTGTTGTTGTTGCTGCTTTACTTTTTACTATCAAAGAATTTTAATTTATCTGTAAACAATATATATATACAAACACAACACACACACACACAGCAGCAGCAACTGCTGCAGCGCGCGCTTCATATAGTGTAAACATTTTTGTTGTCATCGCATTTTAATATCCTGTAAACAGCATTTTGTATATGTAGACATAATATATTTATAGACCAAGTGACATTTTAGATGTATGTATAAAGTCTGTAAAGTCATTCCATTGCATCAGCAAATATATCAAATAACTAAATATAATAAATAAATCAGTTAAGCCTAAACATGCCAAAGGCTATTCAATTGCTGTCCGCTGCTATTAACATGTTTATGCTAGTTATAGCACTGTTATTAGCATAGCCATGTTAAGGCAATTGAATCAGGCAATTTGTAAGTGTTTTGAATTGTGGAAAATGTGAACATTATGTTAGCTAGATATCTGTTAACAGATACCATACTGCTTTATTATACTCTGAACCCATTTTCAATGGGAAATCATTTTTAATTAGATTTAAATTTGTAGTGTAACTTGTTAAAATTTTTTAATAAATATCCCATTCAGAATAAAATACTCTACTTCATATTATTCCTTTACCCTACAATATTTCGAGCTGAACTTATCTACAATACCCATTAGATTTAATGCTTTGATTGCAGCGCATCTGTTAGTCGCTCAAGCTGTCATATGTCAGACGTTGCATGTCATTTTGTGTACTGTTCATAAGTTAAACGTAAATTGCAGTTGATGTGGGAGCCTCGATAGCAGCAGGCAGCAGGGAACATGGAGCAAAATGTAGTCCACGACAAACTGACCAACAAATGGGATGTGCAAAGGAAGGGAGGAGCTGGACATTCATTGGATGTCCACATTTTTTTGCATGTGATTTGTGGATTGTTGTGGAATTTCTGCTGTGACAAGCCTTTTGTTGGTCAACATTTTGATCAATGGGCCGGGCAAACAGGACACCAGGCGAAGCCTCAACAAAGAACACGAGGAAATTAAGCAGGAAGCGGCTAGGAAAAGAGCAAAGAGTAAGGGAATCATCGGGAATTACACAAACTGTGCATTATGCGCTGATTTGTTTAATTAACTGTTAATTAAAATTGACGTTGCCGAGAGGAGAGATCCGATTGCAATCATTAGACGATGCTCGAAATTCGTATATCCATGTATATGCATCAATTTCGAATCGCTTTAAATGCAAATGGAGCAAGAGAAACTTTTGGGATATGCAAATTTCCGGAGAAGCTCATTTAACAATGGGGGAAACTGCGATAATTGCCAGGTCAGAGCGTAAAAATGAATTGAAATGCGATTAAACGCACAGTTTGGCACATAATCAGCCGAAGCACGATAATCGAGTGCGAGGGTGTATAACAGGCGAGAGCGAGAGGGAGCAACGAGTCAATTATGGAGCTGCAAAGATTCAAAAGAGCCAAACTGAATTTGTGGGGTAGCTGCGTTATGTGGGGCTTGAAATGCATTATCGGATTTTGGGTGGGCAACGGGTTGCGTATGTCAAGAATTTAAATGCCATATGAGAAGAGTGAAAGAGAGAGATAGAGCGACTGAGGGAATCCGGAATATGGTAAACTCTAGGTCGAGATTTAAATATCATATGAGAAGAAACAAAGACAGCTACATAAACAAGAGAGAGGGGTATAGGGGTAGGGTATTTGTGCTGTAGGTAACACACCCAGCTCTCATTTGTGTTGTGTGTATTCTCCTCTATTGTTCATGTGTTGTTTAGCATAAAAAGAGGCAAAGCCAACAGGCCAACAGCTTTACAGTTTTTTTTGGGTAATTGAAAAGGTTTTGGCTTTCTATTGTAGGCGGCTTAAGTAATCAAAAAAAAAAGCAGCTAATGGGGCACAGTTATGTATATACATATATATAAAATATCTAGAAATTCACATTTGGCTTACAAATGAAAGTGAACGAAAATAAAGCGAAAAGAATTGACACACAAAATGAGAAGAACTTTCGAATACACAAACAAAATCAAATGAAATAAAAAGCCTGAGTTGAGCTATGTGGAGCACACATTGTAGAAATTGGAATTGGAATTTTTGGTAGCCGAGGGCATGGCCATGGTTCACTGATTTTTTATGTTAATAAATAAATGTGCAAATGTGAATATAATACGGAATGCGAAAGATGCGCTCGTTGTGTATTGCAGATGCTTTCAGTCAGTTCTCTCTCAATTTGTGTTCACATAAAAAATGAATGTGAAAAGCCACAGAAATTCAGAATTTGTAAAGGAATAATACGTATATATATATATAGGCATGTAGGCATATATTTGTGTATATATAATAAATGTAAAAGGGGCCAACAGAAACCTAGTAAACACAACTCGTTTTCTAGTTCAATTCCAACTAAATGGAAGAACCTGGTAATGTAATGGATACATGACTTCAATAAGTTTCGTTGCTTCGGTATGTGTATGTGTGTGTGTCTGTGTGTGTGTTGGGTTGTGTGTCCTTTGCCTGTGACTGTGGCTCATGTGCAGGTTTGCTTTTCTATAAGACACAATTGGGTTACATCCATAATAGAGAGAGAAAGTTAAGGGAGCCGAGGAGTTGCAGCAGCAAATGTGAAGAAATTTCTATGCCTAGAAATGCGAACAATGTGAACTTTTTGGACTTTGGACATTTCAGAAACTATTGTCAGGACTTCCAATTAGCTTTTCGAACTACTTTCAACTGCCTTAAGAAAAACAATTCAATGTGTTCACAAACCGAACTGAATTTACCCGCTGTTGCTCATGAATTATTATATTTAACTCCAAATAATTGATGGTACACTTAAATAAATTTTATATACA